ACTCAATCCAGGAGTTGTATCAATTACAAACAGTGCATTTTTGCATGATGTATTTCCAGAGTCTTCACTTAACGACTCATTTTGGCCACTATTTTCAACAAAACACAGAGTGTCCTCTTCACTTTCACAGTTTTCAGACTGCTGGCTTTCATCACTGCTAAGAACTAATAAAACAGAATCACTCACCTCCTGAGAAGTGTTGAGTTCAGACTTGCAGAGTTTGGTATCACATTCTAGGTTTTCACTCATTTTGCTGTTGTCTTCACTGACATCTATTCTAGCAGACTCTTCATTATCATCACTGAACTTTGTTATGTCACTTGTTTTTATGGTACTATTTATCTCTTCACTCCATCTGTTCACTTCCACAACTGCAAATGTTTTTGCTAATGATTTCATTATAGTCTCACAGTTCAGATCTGATTGTTCTGATGTGGTTTTCTTTTGGGGAGTTGAAAGTTTCTGGGTCACTAATGGTTGAAGACTCCTCTCCTGAAGTTCAGAAGGACTCAGCTGAGAACCTTTCCCATTAATTTCTTTTCCCTCATCTATTATTTCATTGTCCTCTTTAAGAGAGATTGTTTCTCTAAGAGATGCAACATTGGTCTGTTTTTCCTCACTTACATTAAGATGTTGATGTGTTTGCACTGTTAGTACTTTGTCTGAATTTCTGTGGAATGGATCATCATTAAAGTCATTATAAATTTCATTATTACAGAAATTTGGTTTATTTGTCTGAGAAGGAAATCCTGCTGGTAACTGAGAATCCTGAATGGTATCTGCATCCTTTGAATTCACAGGCGTATCTATGATTCGGTTTTCATTTCCTGGTACAATCTTTGTATCTTTCTTCTCAGTTTCTAGCTTTAATTTCCTATACACATTTCTGGTTTTTCTCTTAGGTGTAATTTCAGAGATTGAACTGTAGGAACACGACTCAGTATCAGCTTTAGTTTCTGCATTTGATTGTTGGCTTAGATCTCTTACTTCAGATTTGGCCTTACTTCTGATTCTTCTTGCTACTTCTGTGGAAGTAACAACTCTAGAAACACCTGAAGCATGAGATTCTGCTTCAGAGACAACCTCTTCAGTAAGAGGCTCATTTATTGGAGTTATTATCTGCCTTTTCCTAATAGGAGTCACTGGGGTGAGTGGAATTATGATCTGTCTTCTCCTAGTTATTCTTAGAATAGGCTCCTGGACCTCAGACACAGATGAATAATTTGACTCTTCTTCAGAGTTCTCTTCATCAGTAGATGGTTTAGTTATCTTTGCTTGTGAGTCTGCAGCTCCGCTCTTCCTCTTTTTGCTTTTAGGAGTTCTAGGGACTGAATTTTTTTCCCCAGCAGTTTGCAGTGATTCAATAATACTTTGGCCATCAGATCCACATTCCTTCCTGTTTTCTGGAATCCCTTCAGCACAACTCTGCAACCCAAAGAAAATAAGTTATAATTTAGGCAGGGTTGGGACAAGGGCAAAGCAAATAAGGCACTTCCTTGCAGGAGCAAAATTTAGGAGGGCACTATAAAAACCCAATAGGCAGCTGGGGCTGTAGCTTAGTGGTAAAGCGATTGACTCACATGTGTGCGATCCTCAACACCACATAAAAATAAAGAAAGATACTGTGTGTTCATCTACAACTAAAAATATATATATATATATATATATATATATATATATATATATATATTTTTTAAAAAACACCCAGTAGGCAAAATTTCACAAAAAGAAAAACCCATGATTTAAAAAAAAAAAAAGCTAAATGCTAGATCTGACCCTTTATTTGCCTTATGTGCCTCACCTGGACCTGGATCTGACTTTGCAAAGAAAAAAAAAATAGCTGAATAAAGAAAAAATTTTCTCCAAAGAAAAATAAGCATTTCGATCCATACATAAGGGACGAGAGGAAGTACTCTCAGCAAAGAGGTATTTAGGTACACACTAGTGAACTAGTCGCTGCCCTTGCTTTGACAGACTGAAGAGAATTGCCGCTCAGTTCCCTTCGCTGCAGGAAACGAAGAATGTGGCAGGGGAGAGCCACCAGGCGGCGCCACCACAACCTCTACACGTCATTGGAGTTGGGTGATGGGCCACTGCCAGCCTCCCCAGGTGAAAAGGATGTCCTTTTCTCCAGTCCCACTAAATGATTTTTGCGCACCGTGACTGAAATTAGTCTTCCTTGATACAGTGGCGTTAACAATCTTAAAAGGTTTAATCTCTGTGTCTGCATGAAGTCGCTGAACAACACAAGGGAAGTTAACTAACCTTTTCCTTAACTACTAAAACTGCCTTAAAAGACCGTGGTGAGGACTAACCAGTTCACATGACAGGGCAGGAGCAGAGCCTTGGTTTACCGCAGCACTGTGAAAGCTCGTGCCTTCTCCAGCGGCCCTTCGCGCCGCCCCACCTGCCTAAGCGCTACTCTGTGGAGCGGAGAGGAGAAACAGAGGAGACTTGGGATCTCCTACCTTCTGCTGGGAACTTTCAGGCGATGTATCTTGGATCCTGGCCCGAGAACGTGCAGACCTGGTGACCACCATTTTCCCGGCTCCCCGGCATCCACCGCGGCTTCCCTCCGCTCTGCGGCCCGGAAACGCGTCAGAGAAGTGCCTCATTTGTTTTCCCAGATGATCCCGGAACTCGCGAGATCTCTTACTTGGCCTTTGCCCCGGGCTCTGGCCGGGCTTTGGCCGGGTTCTGGCCATGTTGGGATTTCCAAGCTCGGGTTTTAGTGTTCTCTTTACGCCCCTGGAAGACAGATCAGCCTTTTGCTGGCCTACTCCCCGAGGACGCGACATCTGCAACGACAAGAGGGCCTTTGTCTCCCTTTTTACAGGAACGAGTTGGAAGATCGCATCATTTACCTAATTTTCCATTCGTTTAGTAATTACAAAGGTCTTGATGTCGCCAAGAGTGTGGCCAAAGGAAGATGTTTGCCTTATTTGTACTTTTTTTTCAGTAATGTACTTATGTGTTGTGATGTTAATTATAAATAAAGACATGGCTGGGACGAGGATATCCCAGAAACTGGGAGACTAGTTAGGAAGCTATATAAAAAGTGATGTGGTGCTTCAGGATTGGGAATAAGCAGAAAAGAATATGAAAGAAATTGTAAAGGAGAGGGATAAAAGTTTTTGTTTGTCTTTCTTTTAATATTAAGGGTAGAGAACTAGATGGTACAAAGGGATTGAGGAAGTAAACGGGAGTTATTGTTGTAGGGGAGAAAAAATGCTTTATTAAAATCTATTCTCCGTGGTCCACTTCTTTATAATAGAAAACCACAGTTTCCTTAAAAGTCACAGCACACACATTTCAGTGAATAATACATTGCCTCCGAGCTAAATTGCTCCCTTTCAGCCTCCCTTGAAGACAAGTATGCTAACCGAGTTTTGGTCAATATAAATTAAATATCTAGTTCTTTAGGGTCAGTTTTAGAGGAGAACCTTCCTGACTTCTTAAATACTTCTTTTTTTTTTTTTAATTCCTGGAGAGTTGTGTTCACTGGTTTTTATCTAGCAGCAATTCCGTGCCCCGAGGACACAGCAGGGCTTCAGAGTTACTCTAAGAGTGAAAATGAAAAATCATGAGTTCCTGACAATTTGAGCCACCACATCAGCTCTCTCAACAGCTCTGGATTTCTTTCACGTGAAACAATTTGTCAATGTTCTGATTAATTTTTTATTGGAAGGCTTTGCAGCCAGTTTTAATTTTCTTCTTTCCTATAATTCCATACACATAAAATGAAATTTCCAAGGAAATCCATATTTTCACCAGCAAGAGTATATATCCTGGGGCTGGGATTGTGTCTCAGTGGTAGGGTGCTTGCTTTAACGTGTGAGGCACTGGGTTCCATTCTCAGCACTGCATATAGATAAACAAAAAAAGTCCACTGACAACTAAAAGAAAATTTTTAAAAAGAGTACATATCCTGGAATTTAATGGAATACTGTCTTCAAGATGCTAAGGAAAAGTATCTGGGAATTTAGAATTTTACAATGTCAAATGACTACTGATGATTGAGTAAAAATAAAGACGTTTTCAGACAAACAGGACCTACAGAGTTTACTGCCCAAAGACCTTTGGTGAAAGAATTGCCAAGAACATTTTTAAAAAGTGAACTTGTAGGAATAGAATACAAGAATCAACAGTGAGCAAAGAAATGGGGAGAAGAGCTGAATCATAAGCTATACTTATCATAAAACCATCTTAATATCAATCAACAGACACACCAAAATCATCTGTCACTTTACACATTTAGTTATTGCTAAGGAACCACTTTTGGGGCAGTGCAACTATATACAGTCATATTCTGATGTATTTAGGGGAGTTGGGCAACTTTTAGTCTCTAATCAAATATGACCTTCCCAACATTACCTACTCTTGTCCCAACAGGAGCAGTTCCCTTTCTGGTAATAAGCTTTTGAAGGTGTTCTCATTGAATTTGTGTTTACATATAAACTGCTTCATTATTCAGTAGAAGTATATTTAAAAACTAGGCAAACAGAGGCCTCTGCCCACAATGTCCACATCACACTATCTCCTCTGACCTACTCTAAAGCTAAGTTCTTTAGGAACATATTTCTGTACCTTATTTTGCAACCTAGCCTCACTTCATTCCACATGTCCCCCAATCCTTTTCACCACTTCTGTCATTAATCAATGCAGCCTTTTATTGCTTTTATTTATATACAGATCTCCTCCACTTGCCGGCGAATATACTGTATATACTCCTGGAAGAAAAAGGGTTGTCTTGGGGCTGGGGTTGTGGCTCAGTGGTACAGTGCTTGCCTCACATGTGTGTAGCACTGGGTTCAATTCTCAGCACCGCATATAAATAAATGAATAAAATAAAGGTCTGCCAACACTAAAAAATATTTTTAAAAAAGGGGTGTTCTTTTCATCTGTGTCTACCTGTAGCACCTTGCACAGTGCTTAGCACATAGAAGGCACTCAATAATCTATTGAATGAATGAAGCATGAATAGCTTTATATGACAGATATTAAAAATTACTCAATTTATTTTCAAATCACACTCAATTTAAATCCAAACAGTTCAAAATCAGTATACTGCCCCAAGATACTCCAACTATTGAAACAACTCAATTTAAAAATATACAACTCACATTTTATTTTAGTTAAATTCATAATATAGGCAAAAGTAAAAATTATTATAAATATTTAGCTAACAGTGCTTTATATCTTGCTTTTATAGTACACTACAACAGACACATAAGAAAAAGAATTATCTAATTAAAACATTTTCCTAAGTATATCTCTAAAACCATAAAAATATTAATGTAAATCATGTTACATATATTTTAAAAATTAAACTGACATATCCCATCACCAAGTTTATGGGGAAAAGACAGGTACATGTGTTGGTACATTTGAAAGTTAACGATGAAAAAATAGGTTCAGAATCATAAGTTGATGTATTTGAGTATGCATACACAAAGAACACAAATGGTTTAAATTATTAAAATAGCTGCACATTTCTCAAAATGCACATTTGGCAGCAAGATGAACTGTTCACCAATATACAATACATATATCAGGTGCTTACATCCCCAAAGATTGAAGATACTGGGTGGAAAACCTAGAAAGAAAATGTTATAGAAAGAAAAAATGGGTCTTAGACCTATTATTACTGAAAACTGATACCCTTAGTTACTACTTACTAGTCCTGGTATAGAAAAGTTTGAATCATTCATGCAAAGTAGATAATAACTTTTTATTTTCCATTTTACACACAGTTGTCTAAGTCATTTTTGAGAACTGAAAAATTATTAGCTATTATTTATGATTCAAATTTTAGCACTGACCATCCGTAAATGAATATTAATGTACTAGCACAATGTGGTTTTCAGAATTTATACCACATAAACAGATTTTATAAGACACTTAGGTCCTTCTGGTGTTTATGATTTCTTGGATGGGAATTTAATGTAGTATTATGGAGCAAATTCCAAGTTACAGTACATTATGTTAATTCAAGGCTCCAGGGTATTTTGGAAATGTAATAACAAGCTACAGTTTCTTTTGTACTTACTGGGAAAAAAACATATAAACTCTTTCTACCTTGGGTCACACGATTCACATCTCCCCTGAAAACGTATCTGTTATGTACACTATTCCTAACTTAGCTTTCGGTTTTAAGCAGTTATTTGGTAGTATCACCACTTTTCATTTTATGGCTTTTAAAAGAGTAAAAATCTCTTTTAAAAAGGCACAGTGGCATGTGCCTGTATTCTCAGGGATTTGGGAAGCTGAGGCAGGAGGATTTTAAGTTTGAGGCCAGCCTCATCAACTTAGCAAGACCCTGTCTCAAAAAATAAAAAGAGGTGGGATATAGCTCAGGGTTTTTTTTTTTGTTGTTGTTGTTGTTTGTTTGTTTTAAGGTTATTCAGCAACAAAAATTCAGAGTACAGAGTGAAACAACTCATTAAAAAATTCCATACATGATCCCCTTCACAAAATGAATCTACAATCTTGCTTCTTGGGGCGTAGGGCAGAGAAGAAAAAAGCTCCTGATGAAGCTTGGATATTATCAACAATGTTGTTCTTTTTTCCCTCCATTTTCAAAATAACCCTTTACACAATCCATTTTTATAAGTTATGGGTTTTAAAAAATGATAAATGTGTGATATTCAAGTTCCCCTTTAAAATACCTCAGCCAGCTTACTACACAAATTTAAAATAAAATGACCACTTAAAGATTTACACTATACGAAAAATGTATATTTTCAAATTAAGAAGTTAACTATATACTAATAATATTATACAATTAATATAAAAGCTAAAAGTCTTTAAGAAGTTCAAAGTCTAAACAAGTTTTAGCAGGTAAATCAGTCGATTTCATGTTATGATTCTAATGATTAATTTTTCTAACCAGAAAACCACAAAACCTTACTTAGGAAAAGATTCTATTGTTGAACATGGAACCATACTTCATTTCCCTAAGTTCAGAAAATTTGAGATGTAGAAAATTTCAAAGAATTTTTCAAACTATTTGGTTTACTGATATAAGTATATGGAATTAAGGAGAGCTATAGTATATATCAAAGGTAACAGCTTATTTAATTTGTAATTTTTTTGATTCTTAAACTCATGAGGAATTACACTAAATTACCATATAATCTTGATTATATTGTTCTGCTTTAAATTAATTAAATCTAGGCTGGGAGAGTGACTCAGTGGTAGATCATGTGCTCAGCATGTAAGGCCCTGGGTTCAATTCTCAACACCAAAATATCATAAAATAAAATAGTTAAGAGCACATCTCAAACCAAGTTGTCTGAACAGACCATATTGGCCCTGAATTAAAGAATTTTTAAAAAGCATTTTCTGGCTTTAGTCCCTCCTAGTCCATTACTAATGGGGAATACATATCACACATTTTATTCAACTGAATCTTAATCCTTAGCTCTGTGCACCCCTCCACTCTCCAGAGCCTGTAGGGCCCAGCATGTGGTAAGTGTAATACTTAATGAATATTCTTGAATGAGGAGCAATATACCAAGGATGGATTAAGAATTACAAAGAATCTGGAGATAGTGAATGCTTTTACAAAGCTCCCAAACAATATTTTCAGTTTCTAGTTTCCTTTTCAGGTTTACTTTGGTTTGCCCTTTTAAATAATAGGAAGAGAAAATATGGCACAAGAATATACGGTTAAATCTCATAGCTAAACTACAAGCAAGAACACATAAATTTTTTTTTAAAGTTTCCATTCATATACTGAAGAATGAATTTTATTTACACCACTGGTAAATTCCAACTGCTCCAATTAATCTGACATATAATTATTTTACTAATGACAGGAAAAAAATATCTTCCAGTATTTTCATTTTAACAATTATAATAAAACTGCTTAGTTATACTATAGAGTAATAGGCAATTAATGATTTTTTTGGGAAATAAAAAATATGTATATACATTACCCTGATGTCTAGGCCAAAATATATCTAACAACAAATTTTCTTGATTTTTATTACTCATAAAAATAAAGGAAAAATATATTGCAAGTATTTTCTTTCTAGACAATTTCAATTAGAAAATAATAGTTTAATGAAAACAATACAGTGGTTCATGTGACTGGACTGATGGAGGCAAGAGAAGTAATCAAAAGTTGATAGACAACATTCTGTAAAATACAGCTAAAGAATATGTGCCTAAATGACACTATTTATAGGCAACAGATTGATTTTTATACATCTCAATTTTATCTTATATTCAAGGAAAACACAGGTAAATAATGACCCTAAGTTGTAGTTAAGAACCCCTTCTTTTGGCTTGCAAAATGTAGCCTTTGGACTTAATAATTCCTCTACTTTTCACAATGACAGAGTATCGCAGCAGCCACAGTGGTACCCACTCATGTGCTTGAATGTCAGGGATGCTTTCCTGAAGAGCTTCTTGGAAACTTGCTTCAGAGAGCAGTTCTAAAACAACAAACAAAACCCCAAAAAGTTAAATTTGAAGTCAGAAAACACATAACTATGTAGGTAAGCATTTAAACACAACAAAAGAAACATCCAAACTTAATACAAAATTAACTTATTCTTTCATGTGTGCTATGAATCTGAACCAGAATATTAAAAATAGCCAGGCAGTTCTTTTAAAAGTACCCATCTCTGTATCATAATTTCCGATGTGTAGAGTCTGGATGTTTTGTTTTATTTTTTAATATTTCCGGGGAATTCTAATGTACAGAGAACATACAAAAAAGTGAAAAGAAAAAAAAAAAGAGAAAGGTCACTCATAACCCTGCTAGCTGGAAATGATATACCATTTCTATTACCTTCAATTTCCTCACAATTTTTTTTTCTGTGTACATATGTATTGGAAATTAAAAATGATTTACAGTGTAAGTGGAAAAATCATTTAAAAATCTTTGCCAAAGCTGGTCATGGTGGCACATGCTTGTAATCCCAGCAGCTCTGAAGGCTGAGGCAGGAGGATCACAAGTTCAAAGCCAGCCTCAGCAATGGTGTGGCACTAAGCAACTCAGTGAGACCCTGGCTCTAAATAAAATACAAAATAGGGCTGGGGATGTGGCCCAGTGGTTGAATACCTTGAGTTCAATCCTCTGTACCAAAAAAAAAAAAAAAAAAAAAAAAAAAAAAGAAAAAAAAATCTTTGCCAATAGTCATTTAATTTGCATTTTATTAATAAACTTATTATTTTCTTTTTCTTCTGGTTCTGGGGAACTCAGGGGCACTCCACCACCGAGCCACATCCCCAGGCCTATTTTGTATTTTATTTAGAGACAGAGTGTCTCACTGAGTTGCTTAGCGCCTTACTCTTGCTGGCTTTGAAACTGTGATCCTCCTGCCTCAGCTTCTGGAATTACAGGCATGCGCCACCACATCTGGCTCTAGGAACTTATTATTTTCATTTCAAGCTTATATCTAAACCCTCTACTATCTCATCCCATTCCTCTCCTAACTACCTGTCTTCCAGCCACACTAATTTCCTTGCTGTATCCTGAAAGCCTCAAGCACATTCACAAACTGGGGTCTCTGAGTCAGCTATTCCTCTTTCCAGAACACTTCTTATCTTAATAGAGGCCTCCCTGACTGTCCCATGTAAAAAACCACCTCAACTTAGACCCTCTTTTTCTTCTTCAGCCAACTTTTCTTTAGAGCATATACCCCTACTTATAATTTTAATACTTATTTTCTTGTCTGTATCCTTCCATTAGAATAAGAATTCCATGAAGACTAGAATTTGTCTTAGTATTACATACCTATAGTACCTAAAACAGTGCTGAGTACATAGTAGGTGCTCAAATGTCTGTTGAATACAGATGGAAAGATCACAGGGGTCAGAAGCAACCATATAGATAAAGATGAAGTGACTATCTACACTGTATGATTTGGGAGTGCTAACAGATCCAACTACCCCAAATGAACTGCTGTTGACACTTCATATATAGTAAACTCTATATATAATAGTAAACTCTAAGTAAATGTTAGTATAATAGTAAATTCTAAGTAAATGTTAGCTATTTTCATGTTGTGGGCCCTTTTCTGAGTATCTTCCATGTTTGAGCTCATTTAATCCATATAACCCTATGTGTTAGATACTATTATCTCCCTTTTGGGGGGGAAACTGAAACAGTGAGAGGTCACAGTTAGTAAGTAGTTTCCATTAATAAAATATAAATGTCTCCTGGGAAAAGTAACAATAATATGGAATTATGTATCAGATGTCTAACAAGAGAAGGACCCTGAGGGAATGAGGCATAACACAGATTTAATGGCAATGGGTGAAGTGGTAAAGCAAATAAAAGGGGGAAAGTTCCAAAGTCAGGATCACCTACTTCACAATTTTACCCTAACTGTGGTTAAACTATTACTATAACTTTTAGGGTACAGGGTAGTGAAAAATAAACCCATCCCGAGGAATAAGGGTAATTTTAGAACACAGGTAGACTTCAGGGAACTTAAAAAACAGAATTGTATTTCAGATGGCAAACAGAGTTCAGTGTTTTATGATTTGGTTACTTAGAAAATCTGACACAAAATTAGAGAACTATGCTACTCACTAACTGAACTATATACTTTCAAAATTAATTCAACTACATTAACTCTTTACAAGTAGTAAACAGAACAAATCAAGTGAAGAACTGCTTCAATATAGATCAGAAAGTCTAAAGATTCATTAATGGTATATGCAGGAACACCCTATAAATTTTAAGCAGATTTGGAATAAAAAAGATAACCATGTATCAAATTTTATCAGTAACACAAGAACATAAAAAAGATTAAATTAAATCTATCTCATGATGTATTTTGCCATACTAATGACAAATTAGCACACAACATTTAGTACATGAAGGGTGTATAGGTTAATCATCAGCTGTTGGCAACAACAACTATGATCAGTAACCCCTGAAAGCAAGGATCTAACAATGTATAGAAAGTTAAAGTTTAAATGGCTTATATTTCAGAATAAAGCAACACAACAATTCTTTGTTACTTTTCATCAAAGTGACTTTTTAAAAAAGATGTATTTGGGCTGTGGCTGTGGATCATTGGTAGAGCGCTCACCTGGCAGTGGGAGGCACTAGGTTTGATCCTCAGCATCACATAAAAAAAAAATTAAATAAAATAAAGGTATTGTAGGTGGCTACAACTAAAAAAATACATTAAAAAAAGAATGTATTTAACTTGCTTGTGAAAGTTTTATTGGAGTGGGCAGGCAAAGTCACTACAGTTACTCTGATATCATTTAAATGAAACAGATAACAAAGTAAAGTTTCAGACTGAAATACTACAATAATGATGTTTCAAATCAGAGATAGCAGTGTTTCAAAACAGGATAACAGAGAAATTCTCCAATTTCATCTAGAACCTAGGTCCAGGTTCAAACTTCACCCTATGCCAGGTGAGTGACCTTGGCTACTTTCTTAAAACTTTGAGACTCTATGTCCTCATCAATAAAATGTCTTGTTTTAGCTATGGTGAAGATTATAGATAATCTTTCTGAGGCACTTAGTATGATGCTGGCAATCAAGGAACAGTAACTATTAAAACTCTTTTGATGAAACAGTCAAAAAATAAGAATGGGGCAGAATGTCTTAATAGGCTATCCACAAACATTCTAAAAGTGAACAATCAACCTACAATATTATCTTTTTAGACGTGGAAGTAAAGCTAAATGTTTTTCTAAGGGATCATCTGTGAAATATAATTTCATCTAATACATAAATATATCTTTTTGTGGTGCTGGGGATTAACTCATGTATGCTAGACAAGTGCTATACTCCCAGTCCCTTCCTTCAATTTTTTTTTAACTAGAATCCCTGTAAAAATGTCACAGAGATTTACAACTTTCACAAATCATTAATTTGTAACCAAACATTTCTCACCTATACCAAAAATACTTGTTACAACTTCTATGTGAGATTTATCTTTGCAAGTTATGTTGAACATTCTCTTCCCAGTCTTTCTAGTTATCTTGTAAAATGTTGATAGAAAATTATTCTATAGGGGATATTGGTCAATAGTAGAGTACTTGCCTAGCATACATAAACATACATACAAAATTATTCTTTGGAAGGTAGACAGGTCATTCTAATTAAATAATGTTTCTGATTAACACCAAACATATATGTCTTGGCAGTGATGATTAATAAAATATCTGATCAATTACCTATTCCAAGATACTACATTTTAAATTAAATTGTATCTGCCTCTTTTTCTAGAGAATTATATTAATTAAATGGCCCTCTGGTCCAATCTTTGCTGTACTAGACAAGACTTATATACTTTACTATTTAGAATGCCTTAAAAGATCTTTTCTTTGTAGTTTAATATTTATAAACCTCAATAAATCAGATGTTCAGGAAATGATCCCTTCACTTTTTCCCCCATTGGTATAAAAAAAAATAAAAGCATGTATGTTTTGAACTAACCATTAAGACTAGTTCCAGATAATATTTATCTAGAACTTTTATCATTGTACACATTTAAAATTAAATATTAACAAAATGCCTTTTTTTTTAAAGCAGTGCTAGGGCCTAGGCCTAACCCCATGGGCCTGACACATGCTAGGCAAGTACTCTATCACTAAGCTACACCTCCAGCCCAACAACAAAGAGCCTTTGTAAGACAAAAGATAATGATCAATCTCTATAGATCAAAATTGTCAGTCTTACCTTTTGGATCATTATGAGTCAATAACTGTATGTCAAACTGTTTAGCAAATGCAGTTAAATCAGGTGGCATCACGCAGCAAGAAGCAAGATTAACTTGGTTACTATTTGGTTTTACCTAAAAGTGAAAATAAAATCATATCTTTACTAAATAAAATAATACAGAAAGTAGAACACAATAAGCAATAAAGGGGGCTGGGGTTATGGCTTATCGGTAGAGCGCTCGTCTAGCATATGCGAGGCCCTGGGTTCAATCCTTAGCACCACATAAAAATAAATCAATAAAATAAAGGTATTTAAAAAAATAAGCAATAAAAGGGTTTAATTATAGAGTACAGGGAAAATCACATTTTACAGTGCTTAAAGTTTGTAAAATACTTTTACATGAATATCCTTATTCATATGTGCTTTTCCAAACCATGTCAGTGATAATAGGGAAAGGAAAAATAGCTCTAGGAGGAAAAAGCCAAAATAGAACTACACTATTAAAAAAATCTCTGCTAGAATCATTTAGTAATGTGACACATCTGCTTCGGAGACAAACATGATTTTAAGTTTGTCTCAACAACAGAAAAAATATGTCTTAAAGGTAGAGAATCAAATACAAGTAAATACATTTAATGTCAAAATATAAAATGTGGCTATTAATCAGCACATTTTGAAAGAGAAGAATTAGATAACTTCCAATAACTTCCCTGGTTAATTTCTATATAGATTCTGGATCATCCAAGACTCTCCAGAAGATTCTTGACCATGTCTAGCTACTAAATCTAAAGGAGAAGGTACAATAATTTATCCAGGGTTTTTCTGCCCACAAAAAACTTAAAGTTCTGAAAGAAGGCTGAATATCTGAATAGAGAATAAGAGAAATAGAGAAAATTATAAAAGAGTAAAAGGTAAAACAGTAACTTCCCTCACAATTTTGCAGGTAATTAGATGAAACAGTAGGGATGATTAATTATTGACATATCAAGCTGTATAAACAGAGTCCTATACATCTTTAAGTAATAGTCGGCAAAATATTTGTTACATATTATATTCCCTTACTTAGGAAATTAGAGCCACAATCTCTCATTATATCTAAAGAAAAATGTAACATTTTCATCACATATGTAAAACTGAAAGAAACAGCATAATCAGCTTGCAATTAAAGCTTCAACACATATTTTCTAGTGTTTCTATCACTCGTTTTAAAAAGAATATTTAGTTCAAGTTGACATATATTCTAAAAACCCCAAACCCTCAAGGCTTTAGATAAAGCCTGCCTCAAAGCTCCCATAATTGAAGTAGGTACCATTTAGTAAGTGTGCATTATGTGCCTTGTGCTTAAAAGTAAGCAGCAAAGGCTAGAAACAGTAGATTCCTCCCCAGAGTGCACAGGATTTGGCCATCCTTTACCTGTGCCCACTGATAGAGCTGCTCCAACTGTGTTTTATCTAGATCCGAGGTACCTATAGCAACAATCTTCTTGCTTTGAACTAAGTTTTCTAATTCCTCCCAATAAGGCTGTAAATGCTCCAAGGAAAGATTAACTCCATCTTCAATAGGAGGTGACGCAATGATCACAGAATCCAGTTGTGCAACTCCAAGGACTGAACAGGCTGATGGGAAGAGAAACACAAAAAGGATCAATGTCTGCTACATAATAAAAATAAGAATTATTAATGTGCTCAAAATATCCCACTGAATTCTATTCATATCATTCACTAATTTTCCATATAACAGATTATTTCAGTTTACCTGTCATTTAGAATATTTCCATCTTCTGTATGCCATCTCTTTGTGGCATACCAGTGGGTTTCTCTGACCTGCTTTCTTTCTAGGGAGCTCAAAGCTACTATAGGCTCGTCTTTCTGGAGAACAGGCTTCCCTTTTGTTTTTCAGGCCCCAAGACTTTTTGGCGGTTTCCTTATCTTATCTTCATACAATTTTCTCCTCTAATTCTACCTGTTTACTAGTATCTCATATGGATGATCATAAGAATTATGACCTTATTCTGTGACTAGTAGTCATAGCAAGAATCAGCCTGAAACTGAAAACTAAGACTACCTTTACAAAGGTAGATAATTTCTTAATTTATATAAAAAGAACTTAAGAGCTTATTTTAAATGACTATATTCACTCTACACTTATATGAAAAGGCCAATTATTTAACTTTGCAACATATATAAATGCTGAAAGAATGCTTTTAAAGTATTTAATAACTGTAATACTATAATCATTTAACCAAGTGCCAAAAATAGACATAAGATACTTATTTTTAGTTGTTGTCTTTGATTTTAATATTTATAGTATAAAAGAGCTAATAACATGATTAAGGAGAATGTCTATACCTAAGCAACATTTATTAGTCAACATTTAATAATCAATAGTCAATAATTAGCTAATTAAGTCAGAATTAGCTATATCTTTTACAGTTTTCTTCTATATCAAAACATGAATATATATAAGTCAATATAATTCTATAGAGGCCTTAAGAAATTATCACTTTAAAAGGTAAAATTACAATTTGCACATGTCCTTTCTTCAGTCTAGATTTGAATCCAAGTTATAACTAATAAAACTAAAGTAATTTAAAGTTCACTATTAAGAAAGTTAAATTTTTGCTTACCCATGTCAATTGCATTCCTAGTTGATGATGAAGAATTTGATCCTACAATGAACAGTTTTGCTGAGTAAAAAAAAACAACAAACTGATTACTATATTTAGGTGTGCGTCTTACTGTGTAGTATTAACATGACAGATAATCCTTAATAATTTTTCGTTTCCTAGTCACATAATTTTATAGTTTTCAAGACATAAAAGTTTATATCCACTGTAACTTTTTAAATTATATACTTAGTTGTGAAAAACTTATTAAAATTAAAAGCAATTATTAGAAGGCAGGTCAGACACAGAAGCTTATATTACTTAAAATATATTTTTATGAATTAAAAATACAGCATATTACATCCAATAAACTATAATCTATAAAAAGACTAAATTAAAGCTGTTAAAATGACAAAATTGAAGGGAAAAATTCACAATTCTACCTTATCAATAGAATCCTTTTCATTTTCAGATACTACCAGCAGCTTTGGTCATATGAAGATATATTTTTTTCTACTTCTGTTGGTTTACCTTTAGGTAATATTTTGAATAAATTTCTATGCATATTTAGTTATTTAAAAATTTTTATAATAGTAATATGCTTACTCTAGAAATGAAAACAATCTATAAAACTAGAAAGACCAAAGATAGCCAAGAATCTCATTACTCAAAGCAATTACTATTTATATTTTTGTGTACTCTGTGTTTAATGTACAATTTTAGATACTCGATTTTTACACATGAACATTATCTATAATTCTGATAAGGTATAGTTCATTAAATGAGTTCCTGCTTATTGAACATTTAGGTGAGTAATATTCCTGCAGTAGTTCCAGCTTTCTGTTATCACATAAAATACTAAAACAACCATCTTTGAACTCTTTGTTCAACTTTAATTTTTTTAAAATATTTTTAAAAAGTATTATTTTGGTTGTGAAGGGACTCAATATCCCTATTTATTTATTTATTTATTTTTATGTGGTGCTGAGGATCAAACCCAGTGTTTCACATGTGAGAGGCAAGCGCTCTATCACTGAGCTTCAGCCCCAGCCTCTTCGTTCCACTTTATACTGAATCATTTCCCAAGAATGAATTGTTAGAAATGTGATTCAGTCAAAAGATCTGATGTTTCCTGTTGAGTCTTATTCTATTTTACTTACTTTCTACTATAGAAAAGATGTGGCCCAGTTTACCAGAACACCAACACTGAAGAGTTTCTCTCCTAATAATATAGGATTCTCAACATGCAAAGTCTATGCAAATATTCCAAAATCTGAAAAACTGAAATCTGACACACTTTTGGTCTCAAGCATTTTGGATACTAGATCCCATAATTACACTCTATGAAAATCCTCTCCATCACTCTCCCTTGATTCATGAAATGGCCTCCTGTTTTTGAAAGATGAGGCATTTTTAGAGAGGTAGAAAGAAGAAAGTTCCTCATATGGGGAGGATTTTGATATCTATCAAATATTTCATGCCCTATAGGAACTGAGGACAACCTGTAAAAAATCCAAAATAAATCTACATCATGAATTATAATTAACGACACAAAGTATGATGTTTTTACTTCTATTCCTACACAAATAGCAATGTTAAATTAACAGAAAGAAATGGATTTTGGAGTTGGGCATACCTGAATGAACTCCTGGTTTAACCATTTACTCTATAACAACTTTCTTTTCTTTACATTCTTTTTTAAAAAGTAGGATCTTGATATGTTGCCCACGCTGGTCTCAAACTCTTGGGTTCAAATAATCTTCCTGTCTCAGCCTTCCAAGTAGCTGGGACTGTAGGTACAACCCTCTATACCCAGTTGTATAATAACTTTCAAGTTATTCAATTTATTGACTATCTAGTACAATGAGAATAATAGATCTAACTTGTAGGTTTGATTTGATAATTATATAAGAAAATACAGCACTTAAGTGACAATTACAGTGCCTGGTATAAATCAAGACTCAATAAATAGTAGTCAGTATTATTAGAATCAAAAGATAATGCTCTATCTCATCATACGTGTGGATCTTAATAATAATAATACTTAGCAATGACCACAATAACATGGTAATTAAAAACAGATATATAGCATGCATTTTGTAGCAAGCACTATGCTATGTACTTTCTTAGTTATTTCATCCAATGTATACAGAAGCCTGTGAAATAACTGCATCGTTATTTTATGGATGAGGAAACTGAAGCTCAGATTAAATACTTTGTTACACCACGATTATACTGGACAGTAATCTACAAACCCAAGAATCTCAATCTGGGCTAGCTCGCTCAAGCTTTTTTTTTTTTTTTTTTTTTTAGAGAGAGAGAGAGAATTTTTTAATATTTATTTTTTAGTTTTTGGTGGACACAACATCTTTGTTTGTATGTGGTGCTGAGGATCGAACCTGGGCCGCACGCATGCCAGGCGAGCGCGCTACCGCTTGAGCCACATCCCCAGCCCCAAGCTCAAGCTTTTAATGACTATAAGCTAAGGACAGAACAGTACATTTAAATTTCTGGGATGTATTAGTCACTACAAATGTTGAATGGATATGTATTTTCTTGTTGCCCAGACTTCTTTATACACTTTCTGGTGAAGTCAGTCATTATTTACTATCGTCCCCCAGGAAGGGAGGGTTTATGCTTTGGGTAGACACTGCTCCTAAGCCTTCCCTTTATCCTTTCCATTTCTTCCACCCTAATCTTTTTACTGATCTGAACACAGGTAAATTACATAAGAACATCATGAAGAACAGGAAGTCAAACTTATACTCTGACTCCACTGAAGTAACCAGCACTGACTTCCTATAACTCCTTCTTAAGAGTTGACATTAAAGCTGGGAATAATCCCAGCAGCTGGGGAATAAAAAAGGGCTGGGGATGTGACTCAGTGGTTAATGCCCCTGGGTTAAATTCCTGGTACACCACCCCACCACCACCCCTGCCAAAAAAAAAAAAAAAAAAGTTGACATTAACATTATGTTTAAAAAGGAATTTTTATATTTTCCACACTTAGTGATGAAAGTGCTCATGACCCACAGTAAAGGAAGGCTTATTCCCATACCTAACAAAAGCTTACTATCCCTTCCTTCCATTATATAATAAATTGAATTGTAAAGTTGTAAAGAACTTTACCAGAAACTTTCATTTCTTCTCTTTCATCAGGATTTATCTTTTCTACTGCATGAGATACAGTACACTCCAAGACATCTGGAAACTCCTAAAATGAACACAATATTTATAATGAATATAAAATTAGTGTTTCTGATTAATCATAAATTTTCCTATTGTTCATTAAACCCTTTAGAAGATAACCAGTAAGACAACAGGATTTTATCGGTGCGTTAAATTACACATAATAGTGGGATTCATTTGTTACATACACACCTAATATAACAAGAACTTCCCATTTCTCTCCCCTATTTCCTCTCCCTAGTCTTCTTTCTCTACTCTGCTGGTTTCCCTTCTATTATCATGAGATTTCCCCAACTTTTCCCCTCCCTTTTCTCTTGTTACATGTGAGGGAAAATGTATAACCCTGCACTTTCTGAATTTGGCTTACTTCGCTTAATATGATGCTCTCAAGTTCCATCCATTTTCCTGTAAAAGACAAAATTTCATTCTTGTTTATGGCTGACTAAAACTACTTTTTGGGGGGTGGGGTATTGGGTATTGAACTCAGGGGCACTCCACCATTGAGTCACATCCCCAGCCCTATTTTGTATTTTATTTAGAGACAGGGTTTCACTGAGTTGCTTAACACATTGCTTTTGCCGAGGCTGGCTTTGAACTCGCAATCTTCCTGCCTCAGTTTCCCGAGCAGCATGGATTACAGGCATGTGTCACTGCACCCAGCTTACGTTTTTATATGTACATTTTCTTTATCCATTCATCCACTGACAGTTACCTTAGGTAATTGGTTCCATAATTTGGCTACTGTGAACTGGGCTGCTATAAACATGGTTATGCTATAACAGTACAGTATAGTGACTTTAATTCTTTAGGATAAACATTGAGAAATGGAATAGCCCTCTCAAGCATTTGTTATTACTGATATTTTTGATGGCTGCTATTCTAACTGGAGTAAGATAAAATCTCAGTGTAGTTTTGATTTGCATTTCCCTAATTGCTAAGAATGTTGAACACTTTCTTAAACTGGTTGGCCATTTTTATTTTTCCTTTGAGAAGGGCCTGTTTATTTCATTTGCCTATTTATTGGTTGAATCTATGTGTGTCTATGTTAAGTTTTTTTGAGTTCTTTATATCTTCTGGATATTAATCCTTTGTCAAAAGAGAAACTAGCAAAAATTTTCTCACATTTTATACATTCTCTCTTCATATTCTTGGTGCCTTTCCTGTGCAGAAGAGCTTTTTAATGTGATGTCATCAATTTATTAATTCTTGTTATTGTTCCTTGAGCTTTAGGAGTCCCATCGAGGAAGTCACTGCTTATACTTTTATGTTGCAATGTTGATCCTACATTTTCTTACAGCAGTTGCAAAGTTTCTGGTCTAATTCATAGGCTTTTGATCCATTTTATATGGACTTTTGTGCAGGGTTGAGAGGGATCTAGTTTCATCAACGATTTTCCCAGCACCATTTGTTAAAAAGGCTGTTTTTTTCTCCAACGTATGGTTTTTAGTGCCTTTCTCAAGGATCAGTACCTTTGTGGGTTTGTCTCTGTGTCTTCTATTCCTTTCCACTGGCTTAGGTGTCTGTGTGTCAGTACAATGCAGTTTTTGTTACCAACCTTTGTAGTATAATTTGAAGTCAAGTATTGTGATGCCTCCGACATTTTTTTTTTTTTTTTTTTGGCTCAGAATGGCTTAAGACAATAGGATTGTTTACTTGAGGTCTACATGGGCTTCTCAAAGGTTGTAGAGCCTGGACATAAAGATAAAATGCTATGTGTATGTGTGTATGTTTTCTGGAGAAAAGTATCTCATTTTCATTCAGTATTTAGAAGAATGCATGACCAAAACTTCTTTCTAAAAAAATAATCAAGCAGGAGAGGAGTACATGAGGAGTTAACGACCACTAGATATAATACATAAATTTTACTTAAAAAGAAACCAATGAGCTGGGCATGGTGGAGCACGCCTGTAATCTCAGAGGCATGGGAGGCTCAGGCAGGAGGACTGCAAGTTCAAAGCCAGCTTCAGCAAAAAAGCAAGGTGCCTCTGAGCTACTTGGCAAGACCATGTCTCTAAATAAAATACAAAAAAAAAAAAAAATTGGGTTGGGGATGTGGCTCAGTGATCAAGTGGCCCTGAGTTTAATCCCCAGTAGCTAAAAAAAAGAAAAAAGAAACAAATGAAAAATCAACAATTCTTCTGAATATTATGTTAAAAACATTAAAAACTTTACATGTTTTTAACAAAATGTTAAAAACTTTCTACAATCACAAACTTTAAAAAAACTTTTCTTAAAAAATTTTAATGTCATTCAAGTTAAACCTGTGAGGAATGTAGGTGATTTTTGAAAGTATTTTTTAGAGTAGTTTTAGATTCACAGAAATACTGAGCAGAAGATACAAAGATTTCTCATTTACCTCCTGCATCCACACATGTATTGCCTTCCCCATTATCAACATCCCCATCAGATGGTACATTTATTACACTTGATAAGCTTACACTGACACATCAAACGGGTTCACTCTTAGTATTAAGCATTCCATGGATTTGGGCAAATGTACAACAACAATGTATCCACCATTATGAGATTACTGCCATAAAAACCCTTTGTACTAAAGAAAAAAAATCTTCTGTGCTCCACTTATTCATCCCTCCCTTCCTTGTGAGCCCAGCAACCACTGATCTTCATACTATCTCCATGGTTTTGCTTTTTCTAGAACATTAAATAGGCGAGATTACATAGTATGTGGCCTTTTCACATTTGACTTTTTTTCACTTGGTTAATATGCATTTAAGATTCTTCTATGTCTTTTTGTGGCTTGACAGCAAAGAAACAATATTCTATTGTCTGGATATACCAAACTTTATGTACATGTACTGAAGGATGTTTGGTTGCTTCTAAATTTAGCAATTATGAATAAAGCTGCCATACATATATCTGTATGCAGAAATTTTCATGGACAAAAACTTTCAACTCCTTATGACAGAAACCAAAGAGCAAAACTGCTGTATCACATGACAATAGTATGTTTAGTCTTGTAATCACAAACATTTTTTAAATAATTTTTTCCTTGACTGCAATTTTTTTTTAAAAAGCATGGCCCATTCTAATGCATTAAAACGAATAATTTGTAAGGATAATGATAAAAATGTTAGTACATATCAGTAAGAAACATTCATTTACCAAACAAGATTTAACAAAACAGTGAGGCCTTTCCCATGATTGAAAAACACATTACAAAACCTAGTACATACCAAGAGTCCAGTTACAAGCCATGCATACATACGGTAAATGGTCATTTCAGAGAAGCAGAAATCAAAGACATTAATCAATATCTGCATAGTAGCTATAGGGTTATAAATCTGCACTATGCACAAGGGAACAAGTGTTTCCAGCACATGTCCTCTTTCACACTTTTAAAATGGTCTGGATTTAGGATGGTTACAGACAGGTACTTTTTTTTTTTTTAATATTTATTTTTTTTAGTTTTCGGCGGACACAACATCTTTGTTTGTATGTGGTGCTGAGGATCGAACCCGGGCCGCACGCATGCCAGGCGAGCGTACTACCGCTTGAGCCACATCCCCAGCCCCACAGACAGGTACTTTTTACATTAACATTTACAATAATAATCACATACTGACATTTAATGAAATATTGTTCCTTATTGTTTCACGATAGAAATTATTTCTAGGGACTATATCATTGAAGTGGATATCAGATATTCTAAGTAATCTACCAATCAAAGCTGCCTGATAATCATTCATCTACTAGACCAATATCAATAGGAACAAAGCACTGCTGGTGAGGAAACTAGTGGAAATTAAGCATGAGAATCCCATCATCTTGTCTAGGTTGAAGAGTTGCCTACAGAGTTCAGATTTTCTGCTTATGCTTAATTCAACTGAATCAGATTGCCATCTCAGCAACTCAGCCACAAAGGGTTTGATGGCTCATTGACTTTTTGACTTCTCTCCCCAAACTTAGGAAGTTAACTTCCTGCTTACTTCATTCACTTCCCTTTTGACCTGCAGGATTTCTGCAGTCACTTTCCACTTACCCTGACCAAATCTGGGCTGATTTGGGAACTCCACTCATTCAAGGTCTTTTGGATACAATCTCGAAGCTGCAAAAGGAACGCATTTTTAAACTGTTAATCAATCTCTATTCACTCCCCTTACATCTATAAACAAGAATGCATAGTTTGGTAAATTAAGCAGGGGAAAAAAAAAAGACATCAATAGGATTTATCATACAAACCCTTAATTCTATAGGTTTTTGTTTCCTTCAACAGATAAATTCAGACCTGTTTTTATTCTACTCTTAATTCTCAAACATTCTTAACCCAAAGCATTAGTCTAATTATTTTTACACTGTTTATGTACCAATAAAACTTTAAACTTACACACATTCATAAAGAAACAAAAAATGATTTCAAGAATAAGGTTATAAATAGAGGAACTTGGATTTAAGCCAGAGACACTAAAATTCTTATTAACCATTATGCTACATTCCTTGAAGACAAGCAACAGAATAAGTGTGGCCAGAGGAACTCCTACATCAGAATCCCTGTGGTGTTTATTAAAGACTCAAACTCTCGCTCAATCCTAGACCTGATGAACACTCTCCAAGTACAGCCAGGATTTCCATTTTAACAGGCATTCCAACTAATTACTATGTACCCTGAAGTCTGAGAATCAGAGGACAGCTGTACCTTAAAAAAGTCAACGTGCATAATAATGATAGTCCATGAGTCATTTCCTAACACCTCAGTACACATCTAACTTGTTTTCAATGTTTTTTTTTTTTGGATAAACATTATTTATCCAATATGCTATCCACAAGAGCATGTTGTAAATTCATTAAGGAGTTTATTCCATTTATGTCTCTTATGTCAATGTGTTTCAAACTTACTTGACAGTAGCCCAAAGTAAGGTGTATATTCACTTAATGAGTGAAAGAAGACTTAGCTTCATATGAAGGAACAAAAAATTCACAAAACAATATTTATGGTCACTACATGCCAGTACTCTAGCGGCTTTTAGTCTTTTAATCAGAAAAACAATATGATGTTCTATGACTCACTAAACTAACACCAGCAGTTTGAAATCACCATCTTAAAAGATAACAAAGGTTACAGTACTTTACCTTCTTTAGGCAATCAACAAAAAAAGAAATGAGCAATGAGAGCAAGTCCCTGAACTGCAAAAGCACTTTCTGAACAGGGACAATAGAGAGTAAACTTCTAAACAATAATTGCTTATGATGAAAACTGACACAAGCACTTTACCACTTCTTAATATTAATAATCACAAGGGAAAACTGGTTATTAATTTAAGGGTACACAACCACTTATGTTAGGATTTACAACCCACAACAATAATTTATATGCTATCCATAATAACTTACTTAAATTTAAGTTACCAGGTCTATATCTTTAGGCAAAATTTATTTCTAACAAAATTGAGATCAGTAGATAAAAATTAGTATAATCTTTCCAGATAAATCAGTAACTGATGAGGAAGCAGGACTGATAAAGTCAACAATTTTATCAGGACTGCTTTGGTTCAAATTGTGGGAGAAGTCTAAGAAATTTTTCTTTGGAAGAATGATTCATTTACATACAAGACTTTCCTGATTAATTCTTCAATTCAGAAAGATAAGTATATTTTCAGAGTATTTACCCCTTTTCTGAAACCATCTCTTTAATTAATCTTGGTTTCTGCAAAGTTCACGATAAATTGTAGCAAAGTCTAAAGTTATATAAGAAATTCATTGACTATATCACAAACTGAATGATTTTTAATCTTGTAAGTTACATGCTATCTATAGTGACTGAATATTAACCTTATACCTTTTTGTTTACTGCTTTCTTCATCATCACATATACAGTATCACTAAAGATAAATATCATCACAATGTAGTCTATATTAGATCTGGAATGGCTTAAGAATTTTAAAAATACCACAATTAAATTGATCAAATACTCAACAACAAAAAAAAGACAACACAATCTTATAAAGATTTATTTAAAAACAATATTTGAACCTAGTTTCAATATGCAGCACTGTCATAAATAAATAATTTGTAAATATTTGATTTCATAAAACACTAGTGAAACACAAAAATATGTGAAAAGATCAAAGAATCAAAAAAGCATTAGAACTAGAAAAGATCTTTTAAGAATTGAACACTCAACCAGCCCGGTGGTGCATGCCTGTAATCCCAGAGGCTAGGGAGACTAAGACAGGAGGATCAAAGCCAACCTCTGCAAAAGTGAGGCACTAAGCAACTCAGTGAGACCCTGTCTCTAAATAAAATACAACAAAAATAGGGATGGGGATGTGGCTCAGTGGTTGAATGCTCCTGAGTTCAATCCCTGGTATTCCCCCCACCCCCCAAAAAAAGAACTGAACACTACCAGATGTATAAATTTTCAATAATGATTTTTTTTTTCACTTTCTTTAATCTCTTCAATGAGGTTGAGCTGCTTCAAGTGGTACATCCCAATTTGGAGCTCTCTATGTAAAATTCTTTACATAGAAATAAAACATGCCTATCCTATTCTAATTAAACTGTTATAGTTTCCCTACAATATGCTGCTATTTCTTCAAGTTTTCCTCAAATATCCTAGGGTCTTTAGTTTTGTCCTACTCTGACAAGGCACCCTAAACAAAAAACTACAGACCAGAATTAATCTTCTGAACAATGTTTTTCAGAAAACTGCGTGCATCAGCGCACACTGTCCCAGTGTAATTCAGTGGTGGAGCCCTTGCATAGCATGTGTGAGACCCTGAGTTCCATTCCCAGCATTGTGTTAAAAAAAAAAAAAATTAAAAACAGGATAGAAAAAAATTGAGATGGCTCAGTATACAAAGGTTAACATCTTTTTGTGAGATCTCTGTTTCAGATATATTGATACACACATATAAATATAAAATTATGAATGCATGAGTAAAATACATTTCTTACTATTTGGAGTAAACAACTTTGAAAGCCACTACTCTACGATGTGTTACAATGAGAGAAGAGAGAAAATCTCACCCAATATTGTCAAAATACATGCAGAACTTTCAACTACATTGGTCATCAGTGCTGAAAGAAATTAAGGCTTTATGTACCAAATATAGAAATACTTATCTTTCAGAGAAAGAGTCAAAGTGGGTGGTTTAAACAAAGCTGGAACCCAAACACAGAATAGGGTTGGAATTCTGGTGCATATTAAAGTGACAACCAAGAGTTCTCACCTCCTGAAGGGTGCTGGTTCCCCACACACACCAACTGCTACTTCCCGTATGGTCTGTGGACAACAGCTCTCATATAAACATAGCTAAAACTGACTCTGAACAGCTGATAACGTCATAACCTGACAGTTTAGGCTACCGGTTCTTTTAATCAAGATTCTCTTTCTGATGGAACCAGGTTATTTGGAGCATTTTCATATACAATCTCTTAATTCTCACAACAACCTCATGAGGAAGGTAGCACCCAACTTCAAAACTACTTTCTAAAAGTCACACAGCTCCTAAAGTAATTGTTTATTATTTTTACGTTTAACCAACACATCATAATCGCACATATCCATTGGGAATTTTTCAAGTACTAAAATTATTCCGTGCCTCCAATTACCTGTGCAGTGAATGGATGACTACTCACTGGCTCAGGAACAATCAGCAACAAAGGGGTAACAAGTGCATACTTCCAGATTAACATCTGCCACCTCCAACAAACTGGTGATCAGTCTTCGGGAAAATAAAATGCGGCCGATAAACTTCCAGTAAGAAAAAAAGACATATCTACGCCCAAACCAAATTTGAGGGTTTCGTCATTTGCTTCACAGCAATAATATCAACATGATCAAAGTTAAGCGCATTGTGAATACTATCATTTACCAAAGGTTAATCTTTGGAATATTCCTTTCGAAAGGAAAGGATGGGGAAGGGAGCAAGAGATGGAGAGAGGCACCCAGCCACGTTCTGGCGCTCCCCGACTCCCCTGCCAGGGAGAGGGATCCAGTGCGTCTCAGAGTTCTGCTATCCGCCGTGGCAGAGGCTGCACTCTGTGCAGTTGCACCTGCTGAGTTTTTAGGACGCTCGGTCCCAGGCGGCAGGTCCGGATGCGAGGTTGCACAGACCCCGGCCGCAGTCTGCCGCCCCGCCCCACCCGCCCCTCAGCGCCCAGGCGCGCCCTCCCGCACCTGCCCTGGCCCGCGGCCTGCCCCAGAACCTGGGTCTGCGCGGACGCTGCTCGCCGGCCCTCACCTCCTCGCTGTGCGTGGAAGGGCACTTCTTCCGCAGGCGGCCCCAGTTCAGCAGGTTCCCGGTCTGCAGGTGCAGGGTGCGGGCCCGCGCCAGGAGCGCCCCGGCCGCGCGGCTGTCGGTGCCCATGGAAGCGGCTGCCCGAGGAGCCAGGAGGTGACGGGGCGGGCGGGAAGGCGGCTATCTCGTAGGACGCGGTTCCCGAGGCCGCAGGGACGAGCGCGAGGCTTTTGACCCGCGTGGCGGGAGCCCGATGTGCGCTCCGGCTGGAGGAGGCCGGACGGCGGCGGAGCGGCGGCCCGGGAGGGAGGCGCTGAGGCTGCGGCTCCGGCTGCTGCGTCTCTGGCGTCTGCCGCCGCCGCCGGAGAGTTGACTCTAAACTGTGGAAGCTGTTTCCTGGAAGACAATGACTAAGCAGAAATCGTGGCGGAGAAAAGTGCTTCGTAACCGTTACTCGTCCCACGGCGGAGAGGGGCGGGGCGCGAACGGCTGCGGGACTCTGACCCCCGGGTGACTGGCCCCAGGCCTGCGGCGGGCGTGGCGGCGGGGCGGGCGGCGCGCGGGCCGAGCGGCTGGCGGCACAGCGCGCGGCAGGGCTCCCTCTGGCGGCTTGAGGACTGTGCTCCCGACGTAGCCCGCGCCCTCTGCGGTCTACCGCTCGCCGGCGCGCTCCTCCACCAATGGAAGCCGCGCTGTTGGGTTCCTCACACGCCCCTTTAAAAGGACAGACAGATGAAGGGTCCGCCCAGGCTTTGAAACAGCAGCTGGTTTTGGCTTTGGCGGGCAGGTTTTAATGCACAAGTGCCCTTTCTCTACTTCACCATCTTTAAGAACCTTCCCCCAAAATGCCAATTTTTCTTCATTACTTAAACGTCTGTTAACTTACCCTGGTATGGTGTGAAGTCAAAGAATAAGACTTACTCTTTGCCCTTGCAAAGCTTAAGTTGCCGAGATGAGGCCTAAGCATATTGTTACCAATATGTCCCCAATGCTGAAGTATAACACCAGAGAAGCACGCTGAGGCAAGTTTGAGTGGAAAGTTGAAGCTTTATTAAAGGACAGCAGAAAAGACTTCTCCCTGGAGGAAGAAGGGGACCCAAGAGGTGGAATCCATGGAAGGGGGCGGTCTTCCCTCTTTTATAGCTAAGGTCTACATTCAGCTTTCCCGCATTCCTGTCGCATTCCTGTCCTTTGTTCTGTTATCTTGAAGTGAGGGATGTAGGTGGGAAGGCCCAAAGGGTGGGGGACAGGTGGGCTGAAGGAGTAATCTGGGCAGGAAGGGCTTTTGGATTCGCATTTCCTGGTTTGCTGGAAGCTGCTTCATTAACATTTCCTTGGGATGGGCTCCATCATCTTCTTACTCAATATCAGACCTGATTTACCTACTTAACCTATCTTTAAATCTGGCTTCAATATGATACATTAAGTAGTATTATAAGAAAATCATAGGACAGTTAGTTTCTAGATGTGTTCACATTAAACGCAAATGGCTGAGTTGAGAGAAGGCTTTATCACTCATCCTGGTAGAGATGGTTGGGATGTGATTCTTTACTCCCGTTTTCATGTGATAAACTTGATATAACATCCGTTTCAAAATTTATTTAGCTTTCCTCAAGAAATCTTCAGTTGTTGGGGGAATCGGATATATTAAATGGCAAAATGAGATTGTCATGAGAACAAAATCTACTGAAAAGAGATGACCTCGACTTGGTAATTAGATAAGACTTAGGGCAGAGATGAAGAAGATGATATTCTAGAAGGTTAGCAATTTGAGCCTGATGTTGAGCAAATATTTGTTGGCCATATCAACAGAGGTAAGAGTTCATTGATGAGAAGGGTAATGCTAGAAGCAAGAACAAATATGGGCTTCTTTAGTGAATATAAGCATTTGATTCTTAGGCTGAATTTGCTGTGCTATCACATCTTGACTTTTTTAGTCTAGTACTTGGCTCATAGCAAACATTCAGGAAGTGAGAACTCCTAATACTAATAACTCTATGTTTTCCCCTTACAGGTCAGTTCTCACAAGGTTGGTAAATTCATAACATGATTTCACAGCAAGCATCATATGAACTTTCTTGTGGTTCACAGCAATTCATTTAAGTAACTTGTTGAAAATCTCAGCTAACAGTAGATATAGGTCCTTCAACTTTAAACTCTTTACCCTTCCATATTACAAGTAATTTAAATTCTTGAATGTGTTTGTGCATGATTTATATGCTTTGAATGCCTGAACAGCTTTAATTTACCCATATTATACTTAATGATAGCCTTGCCATAACACCACAATTTTGGGGTGAGGAAGATTAGTTTATTCTGAGGATAAAATCAGGGAATAGAAATCAGAGGAACATCATTATATAGTTGTTTTGAATGAGTCCTTTTTCTCCTGTCTAGGAAACAGGAGTAATGTTTAAAACACTTCCATCTTTGGGAATCATATAAATTTTGTGTTTAGGTATGTAAGGAAAAGAAGTAATGAAGGAAATAAAGAGAGAAGAGGCGGCTCAACAGTACCACAGGTTTATTGGGGACAAATAATGGAGGGGCACCCAGTGGAGACTGAGACCCATCTTCTGCTTACAGCCTGGGGTAGTTATAGGGGCTTGAAAGGAGTAGGGAGATTTTTGAGGTTAGGCCACTGCTAGCAGATTGTCAGGGAAGGTCCTTGTGGTTATCACCTCTATTCTTTGAGGTGATCACTGTTCCATGTTGAACCAGGTGTTTTCAGTATTTCAGTCCCAGATAACAATTTCCTTTCTTTGCATAATGATGGAGTATTGTCAGGGCTCACATTAGGCTGAATCAGTGACCACGAGGTGACTCTTATTCTAAGATGGAGGATATGTTTCAAAACGGCATTGCCTGTGTCAAGTCCTTCCTAATAAGATGCTTTAAATTTTTTTTTTTTTTGCAAATGCTATGTAATCATTGACCACTTTTTTTTTTTTTAATTCTCCTTGACACATTATCTGCTACTACTCTTTATTCTCTCCTTTGAAAGAATTCTTGCTTTTCCTGGAATACACTCTACCAGCGTCCCAAAGTATTTGATCATAGAACACTTCTGAAATCCTGGTGTACTGTTAGAAGCCCAACAGGTTGTCAGGGAAGGGTCCTTGTTCTTTCATCTTTCTCTTAATAGTATTTCTCCTATGGTGCCTCTAGAAATTTGTATCTCCTATACTTTTAGTTGTGAATAAATGTCTTCCTTAAAGATTCATCTAATACTAGATGATGAAAGAAATTACCATCAAATGCATTTGAAATTTGCTAATCCTTGCTAATTCTGTACAGTTATGTTTAATATCTGACTAGTGTTAAATCAACTTTGGGATTTCTTTAAATTGTCTAATGTTGGTTTGAGGCAGAGAAATTTAAAACCAAGTCTAATCTGTCAGTACACAATAGAATGTGGAGAATTGGGTTCCATTTGACTGTCCCCAAATATGGTTTCATCTCAACATGCACACAGACTGAAGACAGAAAACATATTTGCCATTAAATGAAGAATTACCATCCTTCTTTTAGAGAAAACCTGAGGCTGCTGGGAAATCATGAGCCCAGAGTCCTAATAAGGCTGAAATAGTGAACGATAGAAGGACCTCTGGTAAGCCACGAACTTTCCTCGGTGTTGAAGTCTCACTTGTGGAGTGAAGGAACTAGAATGGGTGGTACTATCTCCCTATGGCTGGCTCATCTGCCAAAAAGAAGGACGTTTCTGAATAATTGGCAACTGAGAAAATGAAGTTGTTGAAGGTTTTATTATCATAAGAGTTGAAATTCAAAAATAAAATATAGTATAATATTTAGAGATACTATTTGTTTCTATTAGACGATATTGAGTTGAGATAGTCATATTTGCCTATTAATACTATTTCTGATGTTGAATCATCAAATGCAATTTGTTTACTAGGAATTGAAGACTGGTAGCTGCCTATGCACCTGTGGGTTATCTTGGTTTTGAGGCAGGGGGATTATAAATCTACTTTTTAAGCTGATCTTTCAGGGGTTTCCTATGCTCACTATACTTTGAGAACCATTTTTTTGTTTGTTTGTTTGTTTTCTTTTTTGGTATCGGTGATTGCTCAGGGGCACTTAACCACTGAGCCACATTCCAAGCCCTATTTTGTATTTTATTTAGAGACAGGGTCTCACTGAGTTGCTTAGCACCTCACTTTTGCTGAGACTGGCTTTGAATTCTTGATCCCCCTGCCTCAGCCTCCCAAGCTGCAGGGATTACAGGCATGCACCACCACATCCGTTTTGAGAATCATTGATTTTATATGTATATTTTCTTTGACATCTGACCTCAAAGACTTGATTTGTTAAGGGCCCCAATTATCCTGCCCAACATTTCTTCCTTAAAAAAAAAAAAATACACACACACACATAGCACACCTGTAATCCCAGCTCCTCAGGAGGCTGAGGAGGGAGAATCGAGTTCAAGGCAGGCAGCCTGGGCAATTTAGTGAGACCCCATTAAAAAAAAAAAAAAAAACTAAGCCAGGCCTGGTGGCAAGTGCCAGTAGTCCCAGTTTCTTGGGAGCCTGAGGATGGAAGATTGTTTGAACCCACAAGTTTAAGACCAGCCTGGGTAATAATATGGTGAGACCCTGACTCAAACCAAAACAACCCCCAAAACATTTTTTATTATAAATATGTAATTTTATTGCAGCACTTGTGGAATATGCAGAAAAATAGAAAGAAGAAAAATCATCTCTACTACTCAGAGATAACTACTTTATCAAAATACATATTGTGGGATTGGGGTTGTCATTCAGTGCTTGCCTGACAAATGTGAGGCACTGGGTTCGATCCTCAAAACCACATAAAATATAAAGTAAGGGCTGGGGATATAGCTCAGTTGGTAGAGTGCTTGCCTTGAATGCTGGGTTCAATCCCCAGCACTAAAAAAAAAGTATGTGTATACTTATAATAATATATATAATATTATTTAATATATATAATAAGATAAAAAAGTAAACAGATTAAATTCACCTTTAAAAAGTATATATTGTTACATGACTATTACTCATAGTGTCATAATAATTGCATATCTTCTTAACATCATAGCAGACATTTCCTCATATTATTAAAAACCTTTTAAGCATTAATAACATTTTTTTGAGACAGGAACTTATTCAATTGCCCAGACTGACCCTGGACTTTTGATCCTCCTGCCTCAGTCTTCCAAGCGGTGTGTGCCACCACACCAGGCTTTGTATTATAAACATTTTTAAACCAGCATTTTTCTTATGGCTATTCATCATAGAAAAATTAAATATACACAGAAACAGAAAGAAAATAAAGTCCATAATCCACCATCCAAAATAAGATGTATATCTTTGTCTAAACTTTCTTTCTTTCTTTCTTTCCTTCTTTCCTTCCTTCCTTCCTTCTTTCCTTCCTTCCTTCCTTCCTTCCTTCCTTCCTTCCTTCCTTCCTTCCTTCCTTCCTTTCTTTCTTAAAATAAGGCCTGGCATGTGCTAGCAAGCACTCTGTTACTGAGCTAGCCCTCTAATCCCTGTTGTTGTTTAATCTATATTCTATCTATAATTGTCTTTATTTCCTTTAGTTCTTTTATTTATTTATTTATATATAACAGCGGAATATATTACAACTCTTATTACACATATAGAGCACAATTTTTCATATCTCGGTTGTATATACAGTATATTCACACAGTTCGTGTCTTCATACATGTACTTTGG